AAAAGGAAATTGCTTGGAAAATATCATTAGACTTTCTTGATTCTCATACAAAAGAATGTGAATTGGAAGATCAAAGGATTATACATTTACAGAAAATTGCAAACCAATTACTAGATGCTTTTAGTGATTCTAGAAGAATTACTAAATCGTATATTCCAGGAGAAAATGCTCTGATTAAAATTGATATCCCAGAAGGACAAATTAAAAGTGCTAACGAATCTAAAGCACGCCTGAAGCGTGGTAGACCTCTTGGTTCCAAAGATAAGAATCCTCAAAAGAAAAGATGATCGAATGATCAAAATATTGCTAATGACAAAATTCAACCTCCTGAAGAGGTCGCTCCAGAAGAGCCAACTTCTGAAGAAAATGAAACTTTAATAAATTTTGTTATTACGAGAAAGAGTTGGAACCGAAGAGAAGTAATTATCAATAATGCATTTGCGTATAATGTAGCACTTGATATTATGAAAGATGACGAGGACCATGAACCCAGATCGGTTGATGAATGTCGACGAAGAAATGATTGGTCAAAATGGAAAGATGCGATCCAATCTGAATTAGATTCACTGGCTAAACGAAAAGTTTTTGAATTTATAGTCCAAACACCTGAAGGTGTAAAGCTAGTAAGATATAAATGGGTATTTGTAAGGAAAAAAAAGAAAAACAATGAAATTGTAAGATATAAAGCAAGACTTGTAGCCCAAGGATTTTCACAAAGACCGGAATTTGATTATGATGAGACATATTCTCCAGTAATGGATAGAATTACATTTAGATATCTTGTGAGTTTAGCAGTACATGAAAAACTTGATATGCGTCTGATGGACGTAGTCACTGCTTATTTATATGGAACATTAGATAATGATATCTATATAAAAACCCCTGAACGATTTAGTATGCCTGAAGCATGTAAATAAAATCCTAGAGAAATGTACTCCATTAAATTGTAAAGATCTTTGTACAGACTGAAACAATTTGGACGAATGTGGTATAACTGTCTTAGTGAATGTTTAGTCAAAGAAGGTTATACAAATGACCCTATATATGTCCATGTGTTTTCATAGAGAGGAATGAGTCAAATTTTATGATCATTGATGTATATGTTGATGACCTTAATATGATTGGAACTCCTGAAGAGCTCCAAAAGGCGATTGAATATTTAAAGAAAGAATTTGAGATCAAAGGTTTTGGTAAAACTAAATTTTGTCTTGGTTTATAAATTGAGCATTTAGAAAATGAGATTTTTGTTCACCAATCTGCTTATACCCAGAAGGTATTAAAACGGTTCCACATGGATAAAGAACATCCATTAAGTACCCCAGTTGTTGTCAGGTCACTTAATCCTGCTAAGGATCCTTTTAGACCAAAAGAAGAAGATGAAGAGATTCTTGGTCCTGAAGTATCATATCTCAGTGTAATAGGTGCACTAATGTATCTTACTAATTGTACAAGACCAGATATATCATTTTCTGTGAATTTATTAGCAAGATTTAGTTCATCTCCTACAAAACGATATTTGAATGGTATAAAGTATATTTTTCACTATCTCCAATGAACAATTAATCTTGGCTTATTTTATTCTTATAACTCTCGACCTGAATTGCTTGGATATGCTGATGCTGGGTATTTATCTGACCCGCATAAAGCAATGTCTCAAACTGGTTATTTATTTACATGTGGCTACATCGCTATTTCATGGCGATCTAAGAAACAATCAATTGCTGCCACTTCTTCGAATCATGCTGAAATAATTACAATTCATGAGGCTAGTTGAGAATGTATTTGGCTAAGATCAATGATCCACTATATCTAGAAGAATAGTGGATTGTCCCCTGAATATGAAAATCCTCTGACTATTTTGTTTGAAGACAATGCAGCTTGTATAGCTCAATTAAAAGGAGGATATATTAAAGGAGATAGAACAAAACACATTTCACCAAATTTCCTCTTTACACATGATTTGTAAAAGAATGGTGAAATCGTTGTGCAACAAATTTGATCGAGTGATAATCTGACATATTTTTTCATCAAGACATTGCCGACTGCAACTTTTACGAAATTGGTAAAAAATATTGGAATGCGTCAGTTGAAAGATCTCAAATGATATTTGAATAAGAGGGAGAAACTAATACACAAGAATAGTATACTCTTTTTCCTTCACTAGAATTTTTTCCCCACTGGGTTTTTTCCTAGTAAGGTTTTAGCGAGGCATATTCTTTGTGTAATGTTGGACATCCAAGGGGGAGTGTTATGAAATAATTGTTGGCCTCTTTGTTTTGATGATGTTTAACAAACAATTTACCACTAATGTTGTTTGTCTAGTGTTTATGCTTATCTATTTATTGTAGACAAATAATATGTTGGAGGATGGATGGAATCGCACATTCACGATCATATCAAATGGAGGTTGGCAGAATTGTGGAGTGAAGTCTACATAATTCAAAGTTAAAGATTCAAGTTCAAGCTTCATCCGTAAGTGTACCAAGATAGAGCTTCGTTGAAGATCACAAGCTCGGGTAAATTTAGTTTTAGGTTTTATATTACTTATATGCATATATATGATTTCATCAATATCAATTTTATTTAGTTCAATAAAATCATGTTTTAGTGTGTTATATGTGTATTTTGATAAAATACTATATTCATTATTTATAGACTTCATAACAATAGTTTACATCGTTCTTCAAGTCTATAAAATCATTTTGTATTGTTTCAAAACATGGTTAAGCTAAAATGTCAAAACTCATATGTTCACATTTTCATGTTTTAGACTATTTTGCAAAATGATGATATTTTTATTTGGGAGGTTCTTTTTGAAAACCAGTTTTTGTAGCATGTGTATTATTGTGACGCCCCTGGGTTCACACAATGCTGCAGTCCGAGGTGAAGCCAAGAATGTCAAACCTGCCATGTACTACACCGTGCAACGACATGTTTCACCATCACAATTTTTATCACTCTAGTGGGTCAATAATAGGTGTAGGTACAAAAGCAAGTAACTCTTTGTGTTTATAGAAAAGTTTCCTTAACTCTATTTCCTAGCATTTTTACTATTGTATTTTATATCACTTTTATTGCTAGTTCTTCTTGAGTTAAGTCTTATTTATTCTCATTGTTACACACACACACATTGAGCTTATGATATTTACATATATAGTATAATTGGGGTTGTGAGAGATTGTAATATTGAGTTGTGCTTAATTGAGTTCTCATCTATTGTAGAGAACAACTATTGTTGTATTCATGCTTAATCTGTGAGATCACTTTGTAATATACTTGTACACCGAGAGAAGTGCGTGGTGTGAGTCGGCGATCGTCCCAAGAGGAGTGGGATAGGTAACATACCTAGAGAGAGGTTGTAATTTCTAACACTTGAGGGAGACACGTCTGTGACCAACACTTGAGAGGGTGTAGAGTGAGATTGCAAGAGTGTTGATTGCAAAGTTTTCGGTTAGCTAGAAAATCGAGTGTGAGGTGTAAACGTTATTCGGGTAAACGTAGAAAACCCAGTTGTGATAGTGGATTTCTCCCCGGGAGTGGGGAGCGGAGACGTAGGACGGAAGGTCCGAACTCCGTGATCATATTGTGTGTTTGCTTTGTTTATTTTACCCTTGTGTTAGTTTATATATCCTTGCATATATTTCACTATATATCTCATTGCTAGGATATTATTTTTTGTTCATATTGCTTATTCTTGCTTGAAACATATTGTATATATCTCTTACAAGAATAATTTGTTAATTAGTTTTAATTGGTATTAAATCAGATTAGATTAGCATAAGACCCTAATCACCTCCCCTCTAGGGTCTAACAGTAATGTGGATGTCCATTTAGTTTCCCAAGAAGTTGATATTCTTCTAGTACATTAATCTTCTTCCTAGAACAACACAATGCATGTTCTTAAAAGACTAAGTTCATGAATAAGTGATTAATATGATTTCATGTATCATTATCTTAATTTGTATATAAATAGAAGTATTCCTACCTCACTTTGAGATAGCTATGAAGAACGAATGAAATAAAATTTCTCTCTACTTCCGTTTACCTTTTCTTTCTCTACTTCATTAGTTTCATAACATCTTTAATATTCATTACGGACAAGTAAGCTTTTTTTTTAATCAAAAAACAAATAAGCTTTTGAATGTGAACTTTTTAAAATCGGTCACATGCAGGAGGATGCAAATCCCCGGACCAAACAGCCCCCGAATAGACCGCACCTCCAGAAAAGGCCAAAAGGAGGCAAAAGCCTTCCACCGTTTATTAACGGTAACGTCTAACCCCCGAATAGACCGCACCTCCAGAAAAAGGCCAAACGAAGGCAAAGGCCTACCACCGTTTGTTAACGGTAACCTCTAACACGGCCAGCAGTAATAGATTGGGACAAATTTTCAAAACCACCCCTTTTGCGATTTTATTCCCAAAAAACGACCCATTTCCCACTTATTTGTAAAAACCGACCTGGTTTCAGCCTCAGGACTGAAACCAGGTCGGTTTTTACAAAAAAAGTTCCGAAACTTCACGGGAGTTGAACTCCCGTGAAGTTTAGCAATCATTTAATTAAGATGCTAAACTTCATGGGAGTTCAACTCCTGTGAAGTTCCACAGCTCAACTTTTTTTTTTAACTAAAAAACTTCACGGGAGTTCAACTCCCGTGAAGTTTAACAGCTATTTAATTAAGCTGTAACTAAAAAACTTCACGGGAGTTCAACTCCCGTGAAGTTTAACAGCTATTTAATTAAGCTGCTAAACTCCACGGGAGTTGAACTCCCGTGAAGTTTCGGAACTTTTTTTGTAAAAACCGACCTGGTTTCAGCGCTGAGGCTGAAACCAGGTCGGTTTTTACAAATAAAGAGGAAAGATGTCGTTTTTTGGGAATAAAATCGCAAAAGGGGTGGTTTTGAAAATTTGTCCTAATAGATTGCCCGCCTTGCCTGACATCGTTACATTGTTCCTGCAGAACACCACAACGGACCCGCCAAAGGTAAAGACTCTCCTTCCTCAAATCAAAATTCTTCTACATCTCTCTCTCTCTTGATCACAAAAGTTTGCTTCGAATTTTAAACGCTCTTCTAGTGAAGAAAACCCTAAACTAGATCGGAGAGTTTGAAGGACGTTTTGAGCTCAGGTACATCTCGAAATCGAGAGTTTTATTCTCGTTTTTGTTGATTATATAAGCTCGGAAGAGTTCCTTAGAGTTCGATGCTTGTTATTTCTGTGCGAATCTCTCCAATTGTGAACGATATTTGAAGATCAAGGCCTGTTGTTGTAATTTTTCTTTGAATCTAGCTGTAATTTGCCGAGGATTGTTTGAATTGGGGAAAATTCTTAAGTTAGGGCTTTTCTCTCGGTTAATTTTTGCATATCATACTATTTCTTGCACAGTAGTTTAAATTTTTTTTTGTTTCTATTTTTGTGATTAGGTTGTGCTCGGAAAGAATGGCATCATTTGTGGATTCATATTCACTGAAATCTGTAGCAGAATTGCCCGCAGCTTTCCGCTCTGTGTTTTCTTTCAGGTTGTATGAACACCGAGTTCATTCATGTCAATTTTGGGACATAATTTTGTTTCCTTTTTTGCTATGGTTATTGAACCTCACGCTTAATTATTCAGCTTATTTTAGTTTAACTTAATATGGCACTTCTTCGTGGATTTTTAATATCTCAGTGCATGTGTTGAATGAGAATATTTCGAGATAATTTAGAAATTCTTGTTCACTATCTCATATAACCTCGATAAGGATCTTCGAGTAAAACAACGGTAATTACGTGGGTGATGCTTATTTTCGTGAACTTCATCTGGAATCGTGATTGTTTGTATTTGTCTTCCAGGTATTTTAATTCCTTGCAGAGTGAATGCTTTGCTGGATGTTTCCTTTCCGACATAAACATGGTTGTGTCAGCTCCAACTAGCAGCGGTAAAACAGTGCTTTTTGAGCTCTGCATTCTGAGACTTCTCTCAAGGTTTCTTTCCAGGGAGGGAAAATTCAATCATATGAAAGGAATCCTGAAAACAGTATGTTACCTTCTAGCTTATGTGCAAAGTATGATATTTCTTTAACATTAAAAATACGGGAAGAATGTAATAAAATTGTTTGTTTATATAAGATGCTAAACCTAGTGTACGAAGGTTCTATATTAATATGCCAGTGTTCGAATAGGCCATGACAAACATCTTTCCTGAGTTTGTTACCTTCTGAAAAGAGTGTTTTGAAAAGCATTGTTGACTTCTCTATTAAAAATCTATGAAGTTTCTCATTATTGTACTTGCTTCTTTTACATAATCACACAAGCGAACTGTATAAACGAGTGCAATGTTACTGCTTATAATTTGGATAAGTTAGATCATTGCTTCTGGATATTGATTCTCTTCATTTACCATCAATCACATGCAAGAAAGATCTACATAGCTCCATCAAAGGCCTTGGTACAGGAAAAGCTCCGTGACTGGGACATGAAGCTTGGTTCATTGGGAATTGGCTGCTTAGAGATGACAGGTGACAGTGAATTTTCTAATACAAAAAACATACTGGAAGCAGATATCATCTTAAGTACTCCTGAGGTAAAAGAAAACATTCCTTGTTTTCGGAACATATTTTATAAATTGCATAATTATCACTTTCCTACAATTCACTTGTTTTCATGCTTTGCCTGGACTTAAAATTCTTGCAGAAGTTTGATTCTATGACCCGTCATGGCGTAAGGGATGGTGGCTTGAGCTTCTTTAGCGATATTGCACTTATACTCATTGATGAAGTTCACCTGCTAAATGACCCACGTGGAGCTGCTTTAGAGGCAGTGGTTAGCAGAATAAAAATGCTTTCTCAGAGCAAACAGATGAGCTCTTGTCCTTTGGCAAGTGTTCGCTTTCTTGCCGTTTCCGCTACAATTCCAAATATTGATGACCTAGGTACATTAAATTTCTATAATATCTGTTGCTTGGAAAGCATCTAAAAAGTAAGAACATTCAAGTTGTAATAGAAGGATAATAAATTTTCAACCTGTTGATTGCTTTAGCGGAATGGCTTCTGGTCCCACCCCAAGGGATTAAAAGGTAATTTGCAAATAAACCTTTAGAGGAAAGATTGCTTTGGTCTTTCAGTTTTATTCACACATTATTCATATAAATTGCAGATTTGGTGAAGAGATGAGGCCAGTCAAGTTGACAACAAAAGTTTTTGGTATGTATTTTCAGACTCTTTCTTTGTGTCTTAATTTACATAGGTGAGACTAAGATTGCAGCAAGAGAGGTTACTCGGTGGAAACTATATAGTTTTTAAAGTCATGCCCACTGGTGCTACGAGGTGTCAAAAGTCAAAATCTAACAAGTTGTAGCTGTCAAAGGACTCTTCTGCGGTTCCACCTCCATGAAACTCCAAAGTTATGCTGGCGCTGAGAGTTATAATTTATAAATTTATACTCTAACATGCCCCTGCAGGTTGAGGCTAGGTGTGTTGGGAATTTAACGCTGAAACCCCTAATGCAACGGAAACGCAGAATAGAGAACAATACACCAAGTTTAACGAGGTTCGGCAACTGCCTACGTCCTCGGGAGCCACACAGATAATTTCTTATTTAATCAAACAAGAAATTACAAATTTAGGAGCAAATCCCTAAACTTGGATTTCTCAGATGAACACTGTAGCAACAGTGTTAATGATTAAAGGGAATAAACCCCTTTCAATTTATCACTTGAGAATAAGTGAATGTCCACAATAAAACCCCACTTCTCTTTTCTCTCTCTCTCTCTCCTTAAATACCCCCTCAACCACCGTTGAAAAACTGGGGATTAATTAGAAAATCACTGCTGTGATTTTAGGGCTTTAGAACGCTGCTGCGTTGATTTCTTCCGCCGCCAGAGAGAATGTCGGGGAGGAGAAGTTTTCGGCACACAAAACCCTAGGGCATCGGGGGTTTAAATAGGCGGGATTTGGACAGGCTGGCGACAGCCTGTCGCCAGCGATCCGCTCGGACGCGGAGGTGGGAGGCAGACGCGATGGTCGGAGTCGACAAATGCCGAGGGTCGCGTTCGTGGTTCTCAAGCTCGTCGGAGCTTCGCCGGAGCTCCTCGCCGGAATTGAGGTTTGATCTACACCCCTTTCTAACAATCTCCCACTTGGAGATCAAACCGCCGTCAACGGGCTATCTCATCAAGCTCCTCTCCTGTGTGGCTCCGCCCTCATCATCTTATGCATGAAGGCCAACTGAAGTTGCGCACAACTCCAGTTTCTGAACTGTCACCGTCTTTGTTAACATGTCTGCTGGATTCTTACTTCCTGGAATCTTTTCCAGTTTCAACACGTCATCTTCCAACAGGGATCTGATGAAGTGATACCGAAGCGCAATATGCTTCGTTCTAGAATGAAATGCTGAATTTTTCGCCAAGTGTATCGCACTCTGGCTATCACTGTGCAAAACATTCTTCTCCTGTTTGAATCCCAGCTCTGTCAACAAACCCTGAAGCCATATCATCTCTTTACTGGCTTCAGTCACTGCAACATACTCAGCTTCTGTAGTGGATAGGGTAACGATCTTCTGTACCTGTGACATCCAACTAACAGCTGTAGTTCCAACGGTGAATACATAGCCGGTGGTGCTTCTTCGGTGATCGACTTCACCGCCGAAGTCTGCATCTACGTACCCTTGCACTTCTACCTCTCCCTTACCAAAGTGCAAACACTTCTGTGTTGTGCCTCGTAGACGAAGTCTGCATCTACGTACCCTTGCACTTCTACCTCTCCCTTACCAAAGTGCAAACACTTCTGTGTGGTGCCTCGTAGATATCTCAGAATCCACTTGACCGCTTCCCAATGAGCTTTTCCTGGATTCGACATAAACCGGCTGACCACTCCCACTGCATGGCCAATGTCTGGTCTCGTACAGACCATTGCGTACATCAAGCTTCCGATAGCTGAGGCGTAAGGAACCTGAGCCATACTCTCTTTCTCTTCTTCTGACTGAGGAGACTGATCCTTCGATAGACGGAAATGGCTAAACAAAGGGGGGCTCACAGGCTTGGCGTCGCCCATGTTGAATCTCTGCAAAACACGGTTGATGTACTCCGTCTGAGATAACTGCAAGAGACCTCTCTTCTTATCTCTCGTGATTTGCATTCCAAGGATCTTCTTCGCTGGACCCAAGTCCTTCTGTCAAACTCCTTTGACAGCTACTGTTTCAAACTCTTGATATCTTTCATATCTGCTCCTGCAACCAACATATCATCAACATACAGCAGTAGGATGATATAGCTGGACTGATATCTTTTGAAATAGCAACAGTGGTCGGCGTTGCACTTCTGGAAACCTTCCTTCTGCATAAAGCCGTCAAACTTCTTGTACCACTGCCTTGGGGCTTGTTTCAGACCATACAACCTCTTCTTGAGTCTGCACACCAGGTTCTTCTTCTTTTCTTCTGAGAAACCTTCTGGCTGGTGCATGTATATCTCCTCTTCTAGATCTCCGTGAAGAAACGCCGTCTTCACGTCTAACTGCTCGAGATGAAGATCTTCAATTGCTACAATACTCATCACGGTCCTGATAGTATTTAGCTTCACCACGGGAGCGAAAATATCGGTGTAGTCAATTCCTTCCTTCTGCTGGAAACCTTTGACAACTAGTCGGGCTTTATATCTTCTGGAACCGTCCTGCTCCTCTTTCACCCGGTACACCCATTTGTTGTGGAGTGCCTTTTTACCCGTGGGTAACTCAGCTAGTTCCCACGTCTGGTTTGAGATGAGAGACTTCATCTCATCTTTCATTGCAAGCTCCCACTTGCTCGCATCTCCACACTGACAAGCTTCATCAAAACTTTCAGGCTCCCCACCATCTGTCAATAACAGATAGTTCATGTATCTCCTGTTGGGTACAGGAGGACGAGAAGATCTTCTTAATATCGGAGCTGGTGCGTCGGGCTCCTGCGCACCATCTTGTCCAACAAACTCTTCTTACTGAGGACCCTCTGCATTGGGTTCTTCCGAGAGGTTACTCGGGACATCATCTGCATCTATAAATATTGACTCGCTCTCTGAGTTATCTGTCTTGTGCATGTCCTTGTACATCACCTTCTCGTTGAATATCACATCTCTGCTCCTGATCACTTTCTTGTTTTCGTTGTCCCAAATGCGGTAGCCGAACTCATCTTCACCATAGCCGATGAAAGTACATTTCTTTGACTTGGGATCAAGCTTATTCCTGCCTTGATCACTAATATGCACGTAAGCTACACAACTGAAAACTTTAAGATGTGAGAGTTTTACCTCCTTTCCGCACCATACCTCCTCTGGTATTCTGTGCTCCAATGGAACCGATGGACCTCGATTGATCAAGTAAGCTGCTGTGTTGACCGCTTCTGCCCAGAACTACTTCGTTAGGCCTGATTGTACTCGAATGCTTCTGGCTCTCTCCGTCAACGTTCGGTTCATTCGCTCAGCTACACCATTTTGCTGAGGCGTGCCTGGCACGGTTCTCTCCATTCTGATCCCGTGCTCATAGCAGAACTTCTTGAATCCGGTGTCTTCATATTCACCGCCATTGTCGGTCCTGAGCTTCTTTATTTTCAGACCGGTCTCATTCTCGACCATAGCTTTCCATCTCCTGAAAGCTTCAAATACTTCTGACTTATGCTTCAGAAAGTAGACCCATACTTTCCGAGAGTGATCATCGATAAAAGTCACGAAGTAGTGTTTTCCATCAATGGACGCGGTGGTAGTTGGTCCCCAAACATCTGAGTGAACGAGCTCTAGCTTCTGCTTCCTGGGGGTTCTGCCACTTGTCTGAAAGCTGACTCTCTTCTGCTTTCCAAGTATACATTCTTCACACATATCCATCTCCACTGACTGCAGTCCTGGGAGTTTTCCCTTTGTGTGCATGATTTTCATCCCCTTTTCACTCATATGACCGAGTCTCTGGTGCCACAGCTTTGAAGTCTCATTGCCTGCTGCAACTGAGATCGAACAACGTGCACCTGCTGTCATATATAGGGTACCAGTCTTCCTGCCTCGGGCAATCGTCATTGTGCCCTTTGAGATCTTCCAATCATCTCCATGGAAGGTCGTGGTATATCCTTCGCCAGCCAACTGGCCTACGGATATTAAATTCTTTCTCAGGTCGGGAATATGCCTGACATCCTTCAGCTCCCATACTGACCCGTTCAACTTAATTTTCACCACTCCTTTGCCCACAATAGCACATGGTTGATCATCACCAAGATATACGTATCCAAGATTTCCGGGGGTATACTTCTTGAAGAATTCTTTCTGAGAGGTAGCATGGAACGACGCTCCTGAATCTAACACCCAAGATTCCTCCTTGCTCTCCAAAGAGCATATCAATGCGTCGTCTCCTCCTGAAGTGGAGGTGACATTCACCTCTGCCTTCGCTTCCTTCTCCTTCTGTGCGCTCTTGCACTGATTCTTGTAATGCCCGGTCTTTCCACAATTCCAACACTCGATAGCCTTCGAGCTGTTGCTTGGATTCCTTGATTTGGACCTTCTGTCCTTTGATCTACCTCTGAAGTTTGATTTTCCTCGTCCGTTTCCTCTGGTTGAATTTCTACCTTTTGACTCTGTATGCAATACTGAAGAGGTTGTAGCTTCACCAGTCTCTCGCCGTCGGATCTCCTCACTGAGAACCAAATCACGAACGTCGCCGAACTTCAACTTTTTCTTTCCCGGGAAGACAAAAGTATCAACGCCCGAACTTCCTCATCAAACTCAATCTTAACTGAACTCAATTGGGTTGTAACCGTATTAAGTTCATTGAGGTGTTGTGCTGCTGACGCGCCTTCCGCCATTTTTCAGATTGAATAACCGCCGCATCAAATGAACTTTGTTCGCGGCTGATGGCTTCTCATACATGTTTGAGAGTGCTGCCATAAGACCTGCCGTGGTCTTCTCCTTCGCTATGTTGAACGCAACATTGCGAGTCAACGTCAATCTGATAACTCCGAGGGCTTGTCTATCTAGAAGATTCCATTCTTCTTCCTTCATAGAATCCGGCTTCTTCCCCGATAGTGGTTGATACAGATTTTTCTGATACAGATAATCCTCTATCTGTATTTTCCAGAATCCAAAATCTGTTCCATCAAATTTCTCAAGTCTTATTTTCCCTTCATCTGCGGCCATGGCTCCCACTTGAATCTGACTTTCTCTAGATCGTTTCACGCTCTGATACCAGTTGTTGGGAATTTAACGCTGAAACCCCTAATGCAACGGAAACGCAGAATAGAGAACAATACACCAAGTTTAACGAGGTTCGGCAACTGCCTACGTCCTCGGGAGCCACACAGAAAATTTCTTATTTAATCAAACAAGAAATTACAAATTTAGGAGCAAATCCCTAAACTGGGATTTCTCAGATGAACACTGTAGCAACAGTGTTAATGATTAAAGGGAATAAACCCTTTCAATTTATCACTTGAGAATAAGTGAATGTCCACAATAAAACCCCACTTCTCTTTTCTCTCTCTCTCCTTAAATACCCCCTCAACCACCGTTGAAAAACTGGGGATTAATTAGAAAATCACTGTTGTGATTTTAGGGCTTTAGAACGCTGCTGCGTTGATTTCTTCCGCCGCCAGAGAGAATGTCGGGGAGGAGAAGTTTTCGGCACACAAAACCCTAGGGCATCGGGGGTTTAAATAGGCGGGATTTGGACAGGCTGGCGACAGCCTGTCGCCAGCGATCCGCTCGGACGCGGAGGTGGGAGGCAGACGCGATGGTCGGAGTCGACAAATGCCGAGGGTCGCGTTCTTCGTGCTTGAGCAACGCGAGGGTCAGGTGCGCGTTCGAAGGTCGCGTCTCGCTCGAGGGTCGCGTCTCGCTCGAGGGTCGCGTCTTCGACTGCGGGGCTCGAACTCGCCTGGGGTTTCGCCGTCGACTTCGCCAGCGCTCGCCTGCGTCTTCCTGGAGCTCGTCGGAGCTCCCCCGCCGTCGTAGGTTGGTATCCACCCTCAACCTAACAAGGTGGTTATTTTTTAATCCACTTTAATTCATGGTTAGTGAGATTTGAACATGATTTTCTCTGGTACCAAGTCAAAGGACTCTCCCACCGCACCAAAACTCTGAAGTTACACTGAAGGTTGAGGGTTATATACTAACAGTAACTACTCAGACATGTTCACAAAAGTTAATAATTGTACATACTATGTTCTTTTTCATATTTGATACCTTCAGGAACTTTATTTTGTATTTTGCAATCCAAGTTTTCATCAGTTAGTGAAGAAGGCAGTTCCAATCAGCATATCTGGACAAAAATAGCTCTTGGAAGCTAGGAATTATATCAGAAAGTTCTGTGTGAAGTTGACACACTGAGATTTGTTTCTCCAGTGACTAAAATAGATCTGATTTGCAATGTCACTTGCCCATTCGGTTTATAGTAAGCTTGTGATAAAGGAGACTCTACACTTGTCTTCAACAATCATAGATGTTCTACCTCTTCGCGCTTCTTCTGCTTTTCCTTCTTATTATTGCTGTCTGAGATAATTATCTATCTTTAAGTTTTGTGAAGGGGTAATGGATTTTATTATTGTCGCATTGACATTACTCTAACAACCATCCTCAAAAATAACAAGTGGCATCTGCATGCCCTTTTCCATTCTTCTATAACGAAGAATGAACTTTACTATAACCATTCTGACCTATAGGGTTTAAATAGGCGGGATTTGGACAGGCTGGCGACAGCCTGTCGCCAGCGATCCGCTCGGACGCGGAGGTGGGAGGCAGACGCGATGGTCGGAGTCGACAAATGCCGAGGGTCGCGTTCTTCGTGCTTGAGCAACGCGAGGGTCAGGTACGCGTTCGAAGGTCGCGTCTCGCTCGAGGGTCGCGTCTCGCTCGAGGGTCGCGTCTTCGACTGCGGGGCTCGAACTCGCCTGGGGTTTCGCCGTCGACTTCGCCAGCGCTCGCCTGCGTCTTCCTGGAGCTCGTCGGAGCTCCCCCGCCGTCGTAGGTTGGTATCCACCCTCAACCTAACAAGGTGGTTATTTTTTAATCCACTTTAATTCATGGTTAGTGAGATTTGAACATGATTTTCTCTGGTACCAAGTCAAAGGACTCTCCCACCGCACCAAAACTCTGAAGTTACACTGAAGGTTGAGGGTTATATACTAACAGTAACTACTCAGACATGTTCACAAAAGTTAATAATTGTACATACTATGTTCTTTTTCATATTTGATACCTTCAGGAACTTTATTTTGTATTTTGCAATCCAAGTTTTCATCAGTTAGTGAAGAAGGCAGTTCCAATCAGCATATCTGGACAAAAATAGCTCTTGGAAGCTAGGAATTATATCAGAAAGTTCTGTGTGAAGTTGACACACTGAGATTTGTTTCTCCAGTGACTAAAATAGATCTGATTTGCAATGTCACTTGCCCATTCGGTTTATAGTAAGCTTGTGATAAAGGAGACTCTACACTTGTCTTCAACAATCATAGATGTTCTACCTCTTCGCGCTTCTTCTGCTTTTCCTTCTTATTATTGCTGTCTGAGATAATTATCTATCTTTAAGTTTTGTGAAGGGGTAATGGATTTTATTATTGTCGCATTGACATTACTCTAACAACCATCCTCAAAAATAACAAGTGGCATCTGCATGCCCTTTTCCATTCTTCTATAACGAAGAATGAACTTTACTATAACCATTCTGACCTATGTTTAATTATTACAGGCTATGCTCCAGCGAAGAATGACTTTTTATTTGAAAAGGTAATTGGCTGCTACTTTAATATGTGCTGTGCATAAGATGGAATATTTAATTCTCAATTGCCATGTTTCATGCAGGTGCATATCACACTCACTGTCTCATTTTTCTTAAAATGGAAGGTTGCACATTGTCTTGATGGATATCACTGACATTTGTTGTTTCATTATGCAGCGCCTTCAAGCTTTCATATTTGGTAAAAATGGATAACCTTTTACTTATGTTATTTCAGTTTGATAAATATTTTGTTTCTGTGTATCGCTATAACATAGAAATGGTTGACAGATATTCTCATGCAGTATTCAAAAGGAAAATCTGCTCTAGTTTTCTGTTCAACCAGAAAAGGAGCACAAGAGGCAGCTCAACACCTTTCTCAGATTGCAGCGAATCTTGGATACTCTAATCCGTTTATAAAATCTAAACAACAACAGGAGAAACTAAAGGAAGCGTCTTTTTCTTGCAGCGACAAGCAAAATCAATCGTGCATCTTGTATGGTGGTATGGGCTCATCTTTAATAAATCCATCCATTTCAAAATCGTAAAAATCTTACTTCTGTGCTTCTGTTTGATGCTATCCACTGTCTCGTGAGATTGGTGACATGTCTCCGAGTGAGGGTATGTTCAGTCATTTGTTTTACTAATTTTATCTTTCCTCTTTATCCTTATCCTTGTTTTTCAGTTGGTTATCATAACGGTGGGCTTTCTTTAAAGGATCGGAACCTTATCGAGGGTCTTTTCCTTAAGGGGGAGATTCAGATCCTCTGCACCACAAACACTCTTGCACATGGGATCAACCTACCGGCACACACAGTTGTGATCAAATCTACACAATATTTGTATGTTTGGTCTTGTTATACTCAAGGCTATTTCAGTTATTCTTGAATGTTTATAGCTATAACTACTGTAAAATCCGTATGGGTTTATGAGTTTGTATCTTTTACAGTAATAAGGAGAAAGGGATGTACTTGGAATATGAGCGGTCAATGGTACTGCAGGTATATTATTTTGCTTACTCTTACATATTCTTTCTGGTGTATCCGTTAGAAAAGTTAATTCCTAAGTGCATATCTATTTCTTTTGATGGTTATATATGAAGAAGCAGTTATCATACACAAAAATGGATTAAATTGCTTGGTTGGTGTATTAGACATACAAATTTTTATGGTTAAAATAGCGTGCACAGAAAATGGCGCATTTAAATTACATTACATGTTTGTGTTAGAGATGGGGTATATTTAAATGACTTGAGAGTGTAAATTGAAGAGACCTAGCAAAAGGAGAAGAATAAATTGAAGAAAATGGAGTTATTGTATCCATAGGCTGGAGGAATTATACTTTGCCTTGTCTTTGTCTTTGTCTTTGAGGAACCAGGATACAGTTGAACACACTCAGGCCACATTACTATATAAAACTGTTGTATAAGAGACTCTCTATTAAAAAAAAAGAGGGAAGAAGAAAATAAGAAGCTAAGCTAACAGATGCATACAAGGTTGAATTTATCGTAAGTGCTTTGGTTCACTGTAAGAACTGTAAATGCTATGATCAGTGAAGTTTGTTTTAAGAAGAATTAAAATAGGGACATTCATAGAGTTTGGTGATATTCTTACTAGAAAGTAGAAACAAGTATTACAGCTAACCAAGTTACCAAGTTATTCAAGATGTTTTAAGAAAAGACCTACCAATGGACATGCAATTAGTAGCTTTGGAAATATTGGAAATATATCAAGCTGTCAGTGATCATCTAGGAATCAAGCTTATGAACCATGGAAGAAAATTTTAGAGAAAAATTGATTTAGCAAAGACTAATGAAAAAATTGCCTCTTTAAGAAAATCAATTGTCCTGCTAGGGAGATCTATAGAAGCAGTCTGTTCACCAGAACAACTGATGAAAATATTTGAGCAGGAGAATAATGATATATAATTTTCACTGATTTAGAAAAACCTCAAGATAATATTGGTCGGGAGGTTACATCAGAGTTTAAGGAAAGAAATAAAACTAAATATATGACTAGGTATATTTAAGATGGAGTTTAACTAGCATAAGAATAATAAGTTATTCAAGAAGTTTAAGGAAAGACCTGCCAGTGGACATGCAGTTAGCACCTTTGGAAATATATCAAGCTGTAAGTGACCATCTAGGAATCAAGCTTATGAACCGTACAAGAAAATTTTAGAGAAAAAGTGATTTAGCAAAGACTAATGAAAAAAAAAATCTCTCTTTAAGAAAATCAATTGTCGTGCCAGGGAGATCTATTGAAGCTGTCTGCTCACCAGAACAATCGATGAAAAGATTTGAACAGGAGAATAATGATATATAATTTTCACTGATTTAGAAAAAGCTCAATATAATATTCATAGGGAGGTTACAACGGAGTTCAAGGAAAGAAATAGAACTAAATATGTGACGAAGTATATTTATGGAGTTTAACTAGCATAGGAACATATGTATGATGTGTTACCTATAGCATTGGCTCCTTCAAGGGTCAATGCTAACAAAACTCTACAGGAAATACAGCAATCATTCAACAAATTCTCCTCTCATGAATTCTTTTATCTTGCGCCAGTTTGGAATGCACTTTCATTATTTCCTTTACCTCATCAGTAATGTTGATTTAACTTCAGTTGTTAATTATCTATCTTTCTACATTTTATGTTACTGAAATTTACAGTGATATCCAAATATGATGAAACCTGTTGATCACCTTATGCTGTTGTTTCCTTGAAACCTTACTATGACTAAATGCTCGAGGATTTGTTGAATTTGTTGCTCACTTTATCTCGGCCACCATTTGATGATACTGGAATTTAACTTAAGTTGTTAATTATCTATCTCGCTACAGTTTATGGTCTGAAATTTACAGTGATATCCAAATATGATGAAACCTTTTGATCACTTTATCTTGTTGTTTCCTTGAAAGCTTACTATGACTAAATGGTCGAGGATTTGCAGATGTGTGGGAGAGCTGGTCGGCCACCATTTGATGATACTGGGACAGTCATTATAATGACGAGAAGAGAAACAGTAATCACGTTATTTCCAGTCTCCATAATTTACTTGTCTATGGAATGTTTTTATTGGGAATATTTGGTTAAGCCGGTCCCCATGAGTCCTCCCTTAAACAAACACATATATCCCCCTGCACAACAATTCATTTTTGGATAAGCCTTTAGTAAAAAGGGAAAGTGCATTTGATATTAGATAGTATCTCAGATCTAAAAGGTATGCAGTAAACCTTTGGCACAAAGCATTATACTTCAAATGATTTTTTTTCTCCCAATCAAACATAATACTTCCCAAAGGATGCTTCTTGGACACAAGCAACTTGGTTGAGGTAGCTCTAAAATGTCAAAATAGATTTCGTTTTTATTTTGTTCTGTAACAAAATTTCATGGACTGATGGTTTTTCCTATTGCAGATTCATTTGTATGAAAATCTCTTAAATGGTTGTGAAATGGTTGAATCTCAGTAAGTGCGTCTTTATTTTGGAATCAAGTGATCTACTTTCTACCCTGTCAATATTTTTTTGTCACACAGTATTGTGGCGATCATCCATACAACTTCGTAGTGAATATTGTATTACCTATAGGTTGTTGTCATCTGCAATGGAGCATCTAAATGCTGAGATTGTTCAGCTTACGGTATCTGACATAAGCTTGGCAATTGAATGGCTGAAGTGTTCGTACTTGTATGTGCGGATAAAAAAGGCATGCAATGATCATTATGATATCTTATCGCTTCCTGAATAAATATGTGTAGGTATTGTTACTTACTTGCACGGTTAAATGTGTAAACAGAATCCTGAAAACTATGGAATAAAAAGAGGAATTCCTTGTGAACTCCTAGAAAAGCACATGCGAGGTACTGTATCCAAATTGCACCTCTCTTTCCATCGTCACTATGTGACAACACTAGATTTCATTGCCCCTGTGCTTTTTTTTTGTCAGAAATATGTGTTAGGAAAATTAATGAGCTATCAGAAAATGGAATGATCTGGACAGATGATGATGGCTTCCTGTTAAAGCCATTAGGTATATTCTATTACAAATCTTACATTCAAAGCAAATTATGAAATTAGATTGTTTCTCTTGATTCCTGAAATACTCATCCATGCTCCAAAATTATGCAATGCCTTCTTTCGATCACTCCTGTATATTGTGACTCATTGGCATGTACATTTACAAACCTCGATAGCAGCTCCATATCAAGAGTTTGTGAAGATGCTGTTCTGTCTTAAGCTGTGAAGAGACTTGCAATACAACAGAAACTATTCCTAGCAAAAAATTACGATTTAGATTTCCAGTTTGCTGTATGATACATGGTGCTTCTCAAGGACTATGGAGAAAAGAAATGAAATTGTGCGCACGGTCATCAATATCCACATACATTTTGCAATGCTTCTAAGATCCAGTGAAGGTTTTTCTCAACAAGGATTAGAGAAGCTCAGTATTTAATCAATTATAAGTATCCATTGTTGAGAGTAATAGTAAGATCTCATAAGGGACTATCTAGTTTAGGAACAATGACCTAAAGAGCATGAACTAGTTATCACTCGAGTCCTGATGCTACTTAAGTGTCATGACACCTATCTTGATAACCTATCATGAAAGCACCCTAATGCCACTAGGAAAAAACCCTAGAGGGGGGTGAATAGGGTTTATGCTAATCTAATCCGATTTAATGCCAAATAAAAACTTATTAACAAATATATCCTAGCAAATGAGATATGAACAATATATGTGCAAGGATATACAAATAACACAATGGTGAAATAAACACAAACAAAATAAACTAGATAGTGGGCAATATAAACAATGAGAGAATTGCGATAGAGATAAACAAAATATAAGTGCACAAGCCAAACTCAAACACACAAGAAATGATCACGGATTTCGGACATTCCGTCCTCCGTCTCCGCTCCCCACTCCCGGGGAGAAACCCACTATCACAATCGGGTTCTCTACGCTCACCCGAATAACGTTTACACCTCACACTCGTTTTCTAGTTCACCAAAAACTTTACAATCCACACTCTTACAATCCCACTTTACACCCTCTAAGTGTTGGTCTCTAGCCCGTGTTTCCCTCAATGTTAGGAATTATAACCTACCTCTAGGTATTACCACCTACCCCACTCCTTTTGGGACGACCCCGTCTCTCACCACACATTTCTCTCGGTGTACAAGTGTATTACAAAGTGATCTCACAATTAGGCTCGAATACAACAAAGTTTGGTCTCTACAATGGATGAGAACTCTATGTAGGCTCACTCTCTAAGCCACACAAACCCACAACCTAATTATACAATGTATGCAAATACAATAAGCTCAATGGTTGTGTGTGTAAGCAAAGAGTAAAACAATTATAAACTCAATATAAAATCTAGCTTATGGAAATTAAGATTGTGTAAGCAAAGAGTAAAACAATTATAAACTCAATATAAAATCTAGCTTATGGAAATTAAGATAAAAAATAATAAATAGCTAGAATTGAGATTAAGGAAACTTTTCTATAATGACAAGAGAGAGAGGGAGATGAGTTGAATGCCCAAACACCAAAGATTATCTTCTCAAGCCCTTATGAAAATTTCTTCACAAACTAAACTCTTAAACACACTTTCAAAACCCTTAAACAAACTTGTAAAACTCTTTAAAACTTTTCTCTTTGTTAAATAAAACTAAAGATATGTGGGGTATATATAATAACCCCAAAGCTAAGAGAAAACAAGGCAAAAAGATCAAAAATCCAAAACTGAAACAAGATGGAAAAACTAGTTGTTACAGCATCAGTCGACTGATGGGTTTCATCAGTCGACTGATGAGCTGATCGTTAGAGGCGTTTTCCAGCTCATCAGTCGACTGACAGACCTTATCAATCGACTGATGATCTCATCAGTCGACTGATGATCTCATCAGTCGACTGATGATCTCATCAGTCGACTGGTCAGTCGATCAACATAAAAACATAAACTTTTTGTTATTCCAGACATTTTTTTTCAGTCGACTGAACATTTTCATCAGTCGACTGATAACTCATTATCAGCCTGTTATGAATAGTAAAAATAATTTTGAAGTGTATTTAACAATAGCAAATAAATTCCAAAAAATGTAAAATTTTAGAAAATATTTATAAACATGTTAATGAACATGTTATAAAAAGAATTTTTGGAATTACACTTCACATTTGTAAAATCTCATCATTTTTCAAAACTAGTCCAGAACATGAAAATACAAAACACATGTTTTTGTCATTTTGACTTAAATAAACTTTTGAAACTTTATAAGATGATTTTATAGACTTAAGGAAATATGTATATAGTGATTGTTAAGTCTAAAAACTAAGAATACAATATTTTCACAAAAATACATAATCTATGCAATATTTTCTAAAACACAATAGAATATGAAACAAATGAGAAAGTGTATATGAATATAACTATTGTTTCATATCTATAAAGCTAAACCAAAACAAGACAATAAATATGAAATATGTAATTTCATATTTATATAAACTTGAAAACCAAAACATGTATGTATATATATAGTTATATATATACATTGAAACCAATAAACTGTGTGTGTATATGATATTGAGCTTAAAGTACTAAACACACATAATATAAACCTATGCCAAATATACCCAAACTTGATGAAGGTCTTCAATAAGCACGACTTGGAAAACTTGCGGATGAAGATTGAACTTGGATCTTGAATTTGAATTGCATGGCTTCACTCTGCTATTCCGCCACATTGGATATGATCGTTATGACGCAATTCCATCCATCCTCCAACATGTTGTTTGCCTAGAATAAATACAAAAACACAAACACTAGACAAACAACATTAGTAGTAAATTGTTTGTTAAACATCATCAAAACAAAAAGGCCAACATATCATTCTCTTCCTCTTTGCTATTTTGACTTTAGCTTAATTATGTTATCTGCTAGTCTTCTGCAGATAGCATTTTTAGGATACCTTAGCTGTCATAACGTGTCACCTATCTTTTAACATATCTCTAGGCCCTTCAGCCTTAATATATATAACTGGAACTGTTAACGACACATCAAACGTGCATATTAAAATATTAACTGCTTAACATACAAGCTAATTCGTTAACTCTATTACAACTGAATACTTGACCCACTTGACAGTTTGGCCTCTAGTATGATATCAAGCTATAAGCTTCCTAATAGTTTATTAGTCTTAGATAAAAGCATTGAGGTTTCTTTTTCCAGCTAGAATCTAAATCGACCTCAGTTCATTGACTTCATTTCAAAGTGATGGAATGCTGAATTTTTTTTCAATACATAACTTCAATCAAGGTTCGAAAACTTGGATCAGTATCACTGTATCAGTATCACCTGAGAATTTATAGTATCAATTTAGGAGGTTTCGGTAGTTGCAGCATTTTTAGCAATATCAGATGTAGATATGGTGAGTTTTGGCAGTTTTGATCATTCACACGCCTTTGACATTGATTATTTTCCCCCCTTACATGGCAGTATCAAATAATTTTTGGTACTTTAAACCATAGATCTCCTCATGTAATTAGTCATATCCATGTGCTAATTGTTATTAGCCAATATCGATGTTATCGGTTGGTTTCTGTTGGATCTCTGGCATCCTTAGAATCCAATACAGTATAGCTGCTCTATATGGATGTTCATTGATTCTTCAAACCTTGCCCTGCATATCTCTACACATAGGTATCTATTTTTACTTCATCTTCATAATGATCCTAAGAACATGATCCATAGAGTTATCTTCTGGGGCCCTATGTCTGGTATGCCATTGAGTAAATCTTCCAGTTTATTCATCATGATCTAGATACATATAACACATTAACGGAAATTCAACATGTGCAGATCAATTTTGAAATATGATTATGAAAAAGATGTTCATTTGCAACAATCAGTGCATGGACTTTAATTCTGTAAGTATTCAAGTGAAAATGTTTGTGTTTTTTTGTTTGGGTGTCCTCCCATGCATACTTAATCTCTATGGTACCGATCTCTGGGTCACTGTCAAGCGAGCCATCTATTCATCTACCTACTTATCGATATGTCTATATGGGATACTAAATACTCTTGAAATGCCAAGGACCCTTTCTGTGCTGACACCACCTTCTCATCTTTACAGAACCTGGAAGATTGATGACAAAGTTTTACATGAAATTTGGCACAATGAAAGATATTGTTAAAGCTCCTGATGGTTGCACATTGGAAGATGCATTACTTATTGTTTGCCATGCTGAGGAGATTGCTTGTATGTACATTGAATCCCTAAGCAGTTCTTACGATTTTCCTAAAAGTCATAAGGTACAATTGACCATGAATCACAACACAAAATATTTAGGGATTCAGTTGAGACGTAATGAGAAGAAACTTCTCAATGACATAAACTTGGATAAAGAAGGCCGGTTGAGGTTTCATGTCCTTGGTGAAAAGGGGAAAAGGAAAAAGCGCATCCAGACAAGAGAGGAAAAGATATTTGTACTAGTGAATGACTGCTTGACAGGGGATCCTTCCGTTCATGATTTATCACTCAACCAGGTCTCCTGCATTAATATTTTCGATATTGTTCAGCATGCTTGTTAGAAATTCAGCTAATGAATTGTCAAATTTAACACAGGATGTGAACTCCATTTGCGTGAGTGGCTGTAGGATTGCCAAATGTTTTATCTACAAAAAGAGTTACAAAGGAGCATTAAACGCAACTCTTCTTGCCAAATCTCTATACCAGAGACTATGGGATGATAGTCTTTATTTGCTAAAACAACTTCCTGGCATCGGAATGGTCACTGCAAAGGTCCTTTCTCTGGTTATTTTATTATTTTTTATTTACTTGACTATTGGCCTTTGCACAACTGCACAATACAGTGTCCTGGAACTGAATGTATTTTCATGTTAGGCACTGCATTCAGCAGGCATTAATTCATTCAAAGCAATGGAAGAAGCTGATCCCAGAAGGATAGAAATAATAACAGGTCGTAAGTATCCATTCGGGAACCATATCAAAGAATCCCTACTATCACTTCCTCCAAAGATAGAGATTCAAATAGAGGATGCTGAATACAAAAGGCAAGGAAAGTCAAAGTTGGTAATAACATTAACTCGGTTATCACAGTCAACTCTGCCAAGTAAACAGCATTATGCAGACATGGTATATTGACCTTTGATCCTTCCTCACTACAGGGTGTATTAATGTTATGTTATTCTCTTTTCTTGCATACCTTTTGCCTTCTATTGGAATTTCTCTTTCACATCTAATCATTTGTGCAGTTAGTAGGTTCAGAAGAAGATAATAAGATCCTTTTCCATGAGAAACTAAGGTAAGAAAAGTTTCTTTTGACCACTGAGAAGATCTTTAATTTCTGTGTTCTTACCCTGGGTGCTTCTGCTCATGATTTCACCTTTGCTGGATTATGTGCCACAGAGCTGGAGAATTCTCCAGGTACAGATATGCAATCTATACTATACAAGTTAATGTTCTCCAGTTTCCTGCTTCTATTCAAAATAATTTGTCAGATGTTTCCATTTTCCTGAATTGCTTGAGTTTCTTTCTTCTCCAATTTCAAATCATTAATTTAGCAAATGCTACCTTATTGGTAGAGTTGAATGTTCTTAACCAACTGTCCATAAAACAGGCTACGATCTTAAGTTTGCCTACCAGTCAACCACCTTTAACTTTAGGCCGTCACTTAAAGGATATGTCATGATGAAACTGTCATTGTGATGGAATATGCAGGAATAATTGCAATTTTCAGTTAACTAGGGTAACTCACATAAAAAATCTAAAATTTATCCAACGTAGTGAAATAGTTATTCATAAAAGGACTAGTTTACATGCTTGTAAATATGGTCTTCTCTTATTTTCGTTCATCTGATTTATTCACAATCATGTTTTGCTTTCTTGAATTTAAGGAAGGCTATCCTCATTTCTCAACAATAATGTAGATAACTTCCTCTTCCCTTGTAGGGATAAAATTCCTTATAGGTTATTACTGTGGTTCTAGCTTGTGACTCAAATGAGCATGCTCAGCAACAGCAGAAGTTACTTCTTTAATTCGTTTGCTCTTGTTTTTGCAACCGAGAACAGACCAATTGTTGTTTGAGTTTATTTAAGAATCTGTAAGAAAGATGATCTTCCCTCAAGCTCTTCCATGATTATCTCAGCTGGGTGGAGTCTAAGCAGTGTAGGCTTTAGTGACTTCAAAGTTATGAATAAATATCTTGACAATGAGATTGCATGAACGAGCGATTGGTGCTGATTTAAGAAGAATATATTATTCTCCAATAACAACAGAGTATTATTCATGACGTGATCACAAAAACAATTACAAAAATCTAAAAGATAACACCAATTGTCAAAGATTACCAAGATAGCCTTGTTGGATTACAGTCAGTCTATCATATAATTGACCATATTTATAAAAAGACACATTGAGTAGAGTTGGAGCCCGTCAAATGATGCAGCATTTGTTTTCGAGGAGTTATGTGATATGGGGGTTACATTTGAGATACAAGGAATAGGCAGCAGTCAGACTGAGAATTCAAAAATGTTTCTAGCATATAACAAGAATATCAGGGATATAATCCAACTGAAAAAAAACCTAGGAAAAGTGGATAATTGGCTAAAATGGTAGGGATACGTGCATTAAATGTATCTTCAGAACCAAGTACAAGACGGGTCTTTGATTTTTGATGAAGGATGAAGATTAGTATTCCATATAGCTTATAACATCCACAGCTGACAAGGTTTCAAAGAGGAATACAGCAGCAAATAGTAGGTAACATGAATATCCACGTACTCCTTACTACTTGACCAATATTGAAAAGAATAATCTTTTTCTGAGAGAAATATGATAAAGAATCATTGGCATATTACATTTAATAGGAAAAAACAATATTCTACTCTATTATTGCATATGTTAACTTACTAATTGTTAATACTACACATAGTATTATTTGTAAATCAATCAAATTAATCGTCTAACAGTCCAAATACATAAATCAACTTAATCAGCTAACAGTGAAACTAAATCAACCAAATTAATCAACTAACAATGAAATTAAATGAAGCAAATTAATCAACTAACAATAAAATTAAATCAACCAAATTAATCAACTAAACATGGCTTGGTTGAGTAAAATTGATAATCTGAATCTCTGCTCAGGCCCAAGGAAGGAGGAAGAAAGAAGATTGACATCAGTGAAGCTTGCTAGAGCAATTGAGATTAGACTTCATCAAATTTTAAGATTACTCTGATAATTCTGTTCGGAGTCTCTCTAGTGCGCTGGGAAAGGACTCTATGGCAACCCTACAAATTAATTTGAAAAATCTTCTCATTAATTTAGAGGTTCTGGGAATTACATTTCATTCCATATACCATCTACTCTAGGTTGTAATATATAGGAAAAGAAAGGCTATAAACAATTAACATTGAGCTGTGAAACAATTCCGTCATATGATAAGCAGATATTAAGTTTGTTTTAGCTATATCATATTTGCTGAGACTAAATAATTTCCAATTACTACTGTTTTCCAGGTTAGTTTGACTATGACTTATTGTTGCTTTCTTCCATTATACTTGTCCTGATCAAACCACCTTTCTTTTATCGATGTCAAATTTATCTGCAGCCCTTATTCCGTGACAGTTCTCGCATCATGTCCTCAGTATGGAAGGTTGACTGTGAAAGTAGATCTTGTCTTTGAAGAGTACAGTAAGACCAGTTCCCCCCACTATCATTTTTGTTTCATTGTGTTGAAACATTACATTGTATCCAGAGTGATTCATTTAAGTTATTCTTTGGTTGTCGCTGAAGTTGGTGTTGATGTCCATCAAAAGCATGTAATTACGTGGGAGGATAATTTCGTTAGGAGTCAAGCTCGTCAGAATAAAGTTGTTGCATCAGATTACTCTATTCCAGAAGAAATTTTTGTTAGGGAAGTTGATCATATCAACAACTCTCTGGGCACATCTGGGAAACACTCTACTTTAAAGAGTTCTGAAATCGCTCTGGCATCAATGTAAGTGGCACTTAAGTCTCATATGATTTTGTCTTTCACTGTCTAGAACGTAAAAAAGGACTCCGAGGGAAGGTCCAGATTACCAGGTTCTCCCAGAGAACTGATCGTTCATGTTCTGTGGATCATATATAGATATGCCATGTGGTAAAAAGTTGCACGTCTCCCACCAAAAATTGAGTGAAAATGTTTCCTGTCAGGAAAAACTATCAAATTTTCCTTTATTGCAGTAATAATACGTTCCCTTATATTCTTTTCTCTTTTGACATATATTTCTTTGCAACTGGGTAGATCCTTATTCCATTATTTCCACTTCAATCTTACTGCCATTCTGTTACTACTTCACAGGCCTAGCTTTGACCTCCTAGACGAAGAAAACGGAGAAGGTAATATAACTGTTTACTATATAAGCCAGGAGTTGAGGTCTTCATATATGTGTTTCTATAGAGGTTTAAGAAAGCATTGTTATGTTGTCAGATCCGTCTGCGTCTGAGCCTGCAGACATTGATAGCAAGTCTGTGTCTGAACTGGATGAAACTGAAAGCAGATCTAAGGCCGCAGATACAATATTTGACCATATTCGGAAGAAGTCTAAAAACTTTCCAACCCTAGTGACTTCGCGAGGCATGGATGCTTCTCATCACCCCCTGATCCTGACCAGAAAATTTACATCAAAGAATCAGTGTACATCTGATGAAAGTGATTTTTCCAAAGGAAGTGCTGTTATTTTGATAGACTCGGAACCGTCTGAAGCCTCCTCTCCCCTGGTAATTGACATTTTGAACTCTCCAGTAGAGGCAGCGAGACAAAGTGATGATGTCTCCAGAAGCTCAAGAAGTGTTGTAACATCAGTGCATTCTACGGAAGCTAATGGCACTGTGAATGGTGACTCAGACAAAAAATGGCAATCCTCCGGTCACTTGATAATAGATGCGCAAGCTGTTGGATGCAAAAGATCATATCCATTTGAATCATCAAGTCCAACTTTTGATGTGCAAGGCGAAAATCGATGTTGTTTAGAAAAGCCACCAGATCATCAGAAGGAAGTGTCTTTCCTCGGGTTTAAGAGTGTCTTCTCATTTCTTTGATGTTGAGCAAGAGACAGTCTTGCTTCACTTGATGAGTCTTTAGCAGATTTTGATCCACTACCATATGTTGTTGAGTTTTTGTTGCCAGTTCCTGTAAATGATATGTAAATAACTTTGAACTGCGCTAAGATTTTGGTTGATGGATGCCACTGATTTTGTCTATGTGAAAATGTGCATGACATCTCGGTCCGTATCCAATGAATTAGACTTTCTTTACGTTAGTATTTGAAATTAAGTTGTAGCTCGGTTTAATTTGTGTGAACTTCACAGGAGTACCTCACTTCTTGATTTCTTTGTTGCTGAGTTTGGTTGTACGATGGATATAAAAGTGGGGATTGGTTCAGTCAAACATCAGTGAACGTTTTGTTATTGTGATAATGCATTAGTCAACCAGGATGTAAGAAGTTATGGCAAATGGTTGGCCAGCTTATTAGTATTTTTTTTGAAGCATCATACTCTGAAACAGCTGCAGAGAAAAGTTTGTTGGATAACACAAGTCAGAAAAGTTTTATTGTAAGATGTCTTGAATTTGAGGTCAGTAGGTGGAAATATCGTCAAAATTTTTTGTTTGGGGTAATTTTGAATTCTGGAGGAGAAATCCGTGGATTTCCGTGAACCAACTTGTAGTGGTACTGCATTCTGTTGACGGAGACGGCCTAAATTTTTTTACATGCGTAAGTTATGAGCAATCAACAGTATAATCATTTACTCAGTTAATTACGGGAGATAAAATATGTGGTGCCCGCTACTATTTAAAGCATTAAGTCATGATCATAGCTATATTATTCTCCTCTTCTTGCTCTTGGAGTCTCGGTCCACGTCAATTGCTTGTTTTAAGAGTTTACCACCCTTCAATTCCCAAAATGTCCTTGCCCAATGCATTCTTTGCGCCAGTTGATTCTTCCTTTCTTTCATCAATCATAACGATATCGAAATCTTACATTAATTGTAAAGGAGTAAATAAAGATCCACTGTCATCCAAATTTATCCCATGAGCCACAAATTTGTTTTCTCCTTCCAAGATTTCTTTCAGTAATGGCTAGATCTAATCTCTCCAAATTTACTTGTTTACTCTCCCATCAATCATAACAAAAAAGAGGGAAAGAACAAAAAAGAGGGAAAGA